CCTGCCCCGGACGGCGGCCGGGACGGGGCCCCGCTCGGAGCGAAGGCTCCTCAACGGTCCCCTCGGGCCTTTCACGCAGCAAGAGGTGGCCGTGGCGGGACCCCTGCCCTCCGTCCCTCCGTCCCTCCGTCCCCTGCCCGGCTGGCCGCGCACGAGGCAGGGCTGCGGGGAGAAGCCACGTCCCGCCCACGACAGCCGAGGCCCGGGCTGTGGGCAGCAGGGCCCGCCGGCGGGGCAGAGACGCTCACCTCTTCTCGGCGGGCTTCACGCCCACGGACAGCGAGGCCATGGCGGTGACGGTCTCGGCTTCCTCGTTCTCGCACTTCTGGGCCTCTACCAGCGAGCGCCCCACCGTGGAGCAGAGACGTGGCAGGGAGCGCCAATACTGGCCTGAGCGGAGAGGCGTGGTTACTGGGCTCCCCCCGCTCAAGCCTCCTCACGGGCGCCCTTAAAAGCACGTCTTCCAGGAGCCAGAAGCCAGGGAGCACCTGGCTCACAGCTCACAGCGACTGGGCCCCTGGGAGAGGCGGCCAGCGGAGTCCGGTCCTCCCTGAGGCAGGGGCACCTGGGATGGGCCGGGGGTCTGGGGGGCCTCCCCCGGGACCCTCAGAGACGAGGGGGGCCTCAGCGTGAGGGGAACGAGCAGGGGGGCCAGGCCGGAGCTAGTCATTCGGTGTCTGCTCGCACACGGGGCTTCTCAGCGGGGAGGCTGGGGGGAACCCAGCGTCTGCACCGGGGACCACAGGGCAGACCCACCTACGGGACAGTCTCAGTGACTTGGGTCACCCCATGCCCCCGGGCGGCCCAGGCAACTCACTGTGGATTTCAATGACTTTCTCCATGGACCGGACCGCGTTAGCGTTGGGTCTCTGCTGTAAGACCTTCTCTGGAAGAGGATCAAGCTAGAAAATAATATATAAATACACAGTGAACGTACAGGGTGTCAATCCCCATGTGCATTACAACGGGACAAAGTCGGTTTCTTGAGTGTATTTGTGGACAGAGATGAAGAAAAAGCCAAACATGGCTTTGCTATTTACCATACGATTTTTTTTAAACAAAAGTAGATTTATTTTCTTTGAGATATTTTCCCAGGGGACCGTCAGGTGTATTCGTGAGCTCCTGCGTGAGCGGACACCACATCCAGGAGTGGGCTGGTGCAGAAGGATGTCTGCTTGGGACCCACTGAGACACCATCTACACCATCACACAGCATGAGGGAAATAATGAGAACCTTTGGAAATACCACTTTCACGTCTGTAGTCTTACAAATAAGAATGCCTGAACATCCACTGACGATCTTCTTCACAAAATGGGGAAACGGTAAAAGGAAGAAGACAGTGAGTGGAGTCTCTCCGAGGGGGGCCCTGTGCTCCCAGTGTCCCCTTCGGTGCAGACCGCAGAGGATAATAAGGAAGCATAAGCCAGTCAGAGACCCACAGGGCACGCCGGGGCGTCTGTAACATGACAACTAAGATGCTTGGGGAAATACATGATGAAAACACAAAAATAATTTTAAAAAACTTTAAATAATTAGACAAGCCTGTAACACCAGGGGAGATCTGCTGGGTTCCAGAAGGAAGCTGGAACTGCCTGGGGTGGTCACATATCCTGGGACAGGCTGGGGGCCGTGCAGGCCTGTGTGGGAATGACCACAGTCCTCCCAGGGATGAGCCAGGCTCCTGCAGACGACGTGCCCGCAGACACCTGGCGGGGAGAGGTTTGTTCTTAGCCTGGGCTCTGCAGAGAAGGGAAGCGCCGGCCGCGGTCTCCCTGAGAATCTGCCTGGTTCACACGCCATAAGCGGAGGGGCTGGGCGCCTGGCAGAGCAGCCGTGGGCCCCCTCATGAGGCTGCTGCCTCGTGCTTTCAGTTCAGTTCCAGAATGCTTGAGTCCCCAGCCAAAACCATCATAAAACACGGAAGTCAGCCAGTGCGGTCTGGGTTCCGGAGAAACCAGCAAGGTCTCCAACACCACCCTCCAGTAAAAGGAGCCAGGCTCCTGGTCTTTTCCGAGGCTGGGGCACGGCAGATTTTAGAAGAGCCTGGCGCGTCCTGCAGTACGAGAGACGGAGGGAGCGCTCAGGAAATGACAGGCGGGCTAAAGGGACGCACACGAGGCCAGGCGGGAAAGAGACCACGGCACGGTTCTGGACCGTAACTCAGAGCGTGGAGCGTCCAGGAGTCTGCGCTGATGACCGAATAAGTAACAAGGAGGAGACACATGTTCCTCAAGAAGAATTTCACATAATTTGTGTACACACGCCCTCTCCAAGAGGTGGAGCGGAGTACCTTGAAAAACAAGACATACACTGAGGTAGAGTCTACAAAGTACCTGACTGGTGTTCTTTGCTGAAAATTATCAACATTTCAAAAATGACAACCAAGGGAAGGCTGAGAGGCTGCCACAGCCCAGAGGAGAGTAAGGACATGGAACGCCTGGACGCACAGTGGGGTCCAGGATGGGGACCCTGCCACGGTGAGGGCAGTCATGGGAAGGCGAGCGAAATCCGGGCATGGTCTGGCCTAGCAGGGCCGGGTCAGGGCTGGCTCCCGGCCTGAGACAAAGGCTCCACCGCGGTCAGATGGCACCGAGAGGAAACCGTCCGAGGGCCTATGGGAGCTTGGGGGCCAGTTCTGCAACTTTCCTCTAGGTCCAAAGCTACCCAGAATTAAAAGTCTAGTAAAAAAATGCATATTTGGATCCTCAAAGACTGTGATTATTGAAATGTTCAGTTTTAAACTATAAAGTATGTTTAGTATGCATTAAAAATAAGAGACAAATGTAGGATTACTGAACTGAACTGGAAGATTTGAAAGAGAGCCAAATAGAACTTCTAAAAATGAAAATGCAACAGCAGGAACTGGAAACTCCTATCAGCTAAGGAGAACACCGGTAACCTGGAAGCGACAGCCGAAGAAACGACTCTGGACGCACTGGGGACATGGGGAGCGGGCAGAGGGGGAGGGTCTGTGTCCCAGAGGGTGGGGGACGAGACCCGAGCAGGAAGAGTCACACGACACGCCCACACCCAGGTGCTCCGGAGTGAAGCCGCAGAGCTCCGGGGATGAGCAGAGAGCTGGAGAAGAAGGACAGTCTGCAGGGGGACGCAGCCCACCAGCCACCAGCTCCCGCACGGCAGAGAGCAAGACGGTGTGCGGTCGCTTCAGAGCGTCCAGAGAGAACATGACTGTCGGCCACAACTGTGGCCCCGTCAGTCAAGAACGAGGGCAGGGGCGCCCGGGTGGCTCAGTCTGTTAGGCGTCTGACCCTTGATCTCAGCTCAGGTCATGATCTCAGGGTTGTGAGTTCAAGCCCCACGTTGGGCTCCATGCTGGGTATGGAGCCTGCTTAAAAAAAAAAAAGAACGAGGGTAAAATCACAACTTGAATAAAGGCAAACAAACAGGGGACATTGACACTGGTGTCCCTCTGCCAGAAAACGTACGGGGTGTGCTGGAGGCACAGTGGTCCCGGGTGGCGGTCGGAGAAACGAGGGGAGATGATGCACACGAATGCAGGAAAGGCCACGGACACAGGGACTACATTAAACAACAGTAATGGTGTCAAGTCAGTGACTACGAAGGAAGGAAGGAAGGAGGGAAGGAAGGAAGAAAGGAAGGAAGGGAGGAAGGACGGAAGGAAGGACAGAAGGAAGGAGGGAAGAAGGAAGGAAGGAAGGATGGAAGGAAGGAGGGAAGGAAGGAAGGGAGGAAGGAAGGGAGGAAGGACGGAAGGAAGGAGGGAAGAAGGAAGGAAGGAATGAAGGACGAAGGAAGGAGGGAAGAAGGAAGGAAGGAAGGACGGAAGGAAGGAGGGAAGGAAGGAAGGAAGGAGGAGGGGGAGAGGCCAGTCAGGGACCGCACACACACCCCGGGAGGGGCCGGGGCGGGGGCTGCCCAACGGAGCCAGTAAACACAGGACAGCGGCCGGCACGGGTCCGTCTCGGGCAAGCAAGTGACTTTTCGGTAAAGCCACGTCCAAAGGGGCGTGCTGTGTTTGGTCTGCGGCCCCACGTGGATCCGGGTGGCGTGGGGAGGGAAGAGGCCACTGACCGCGTCACGGGGATGTGCTGACATCTGTAAGGGTCGCCCCTGGCAACCGGCAGCCATGTACCTTCCCCCCAGCGGAGGGGACGGGCGCCACGTGGGGGACCCTCAGTCATGTGGGGACAGGGCAGAAGAGGGGAAGCACGCAGCACAGAGAGACGCAGAAACGAGTCTGGAAAAAGCAAAGCCACGGAAAACGAGGCGCAACCAACCCCACCGTAAGGACCAGTGTCCACTTAACGAGCAGCCCGTGCACTATCGAGAAAACCCATCCTGGAATCCAGCCTCGCGCTGTTTATGGAGGAAGCGACTGGACAGGAGGTGGCGGGTTCCCCGCACGACACGCATAAACGGAAAACTGTGGCTGGACGTAAAGGACGGCTCTACACGGTGACAAAAATGCCAATTCATCAAAAGGATGTGATGCTTTAAAGTTTGTGCACCTTTGGTAAAATTGCTTAACACGCAGGAAGTGAACGTCGCCAGAGCCAACGGAGGTGAGCAGATGTGCCACGCGAGGGGGGGTGGCACGTCCTCCTCAGAAGGAGCAGACGGGGTCGGCAGAGAAAACCAAACGTGAAGGGCACCACGGGCGAGCCTGGGCGATGGACAGAGGTGTGGGGTGGGGCGGAGGAGGCGCGCTCCCTCAAACGTGCGTGGACGTCTACGCAGGCAGACCGCTCCCCCCACGATACCACACACCTGTTCTTAGCACAGCGTCTGTCAGAAACTGGGCACAAATGAGAACCATGCGGCCGTGAGGTTGGAAGTTAAATAGCACAGCGATCACGGGTCCCTGGAAAGCAGGAAATGCTTAGAAATGAAAAGCAATGAAAATGCCACGTACCAGCGTGTGAGGTGCAGCCAATACTGAGCCTAATGCAGACGTCAGAGCAAGTAGGTGCTCAGTTTAGGAAGGGAGCAAGAGAACAGTCTGGGGAAAGAAGTAAAGACACAGAAAAGGGGCAGAAACAAATTCTGGAGAGGGAAGGCTACTGTAGCTGAAAGCTGATTCTTTGAAATGGCTTAACTGGACAAGTTCCGATACGACTGGGTACGGGAGCCACCGAGGCACAAATGTGCACCAGCAGGGAGAGGGGCCGCAGCATGAGTGCGGCGAGGAAAACCGGCCGAGGTGGGCGAATCTCCATGGCCCAGGAGAACTCTCGCAGTCAAGGAAGAGGTTACTCTGATCCTGCGCTCACTCCTCCAGGGGTCAGAAAAAGAGGAGACGCCTAACTGTCCATCAGTCCGTCCACCCACCCACCCAACTGCCCATCTTGCCTTTCATCCACCTACCCATCCATCCAATTTCCCCCTCGGGAATAAACAGGAAAAATACGGTTTAGGAGAAACATGGGCCAAAGCCGTGAACTTCACTAGAAGAGAAAGTCTAAGCTGCCAACAGGCACCTGGGAAGATGCTAGGCACCTGGGAAGATGCTCGGCACCAGCAGCAACGAGGAAATGATCCGCCCCGCCCTGGGTGCTGTTCACCCCTCCCACTGGCAGAGCTCAAGTGTCAGGATGCCAAGTGTTGCTGAGGCCCGGTGCAGGGAGCTCACCCCAGCCGCCAAGCTGCAACAACCCGCTGGGTCCCAGGCAGGACAGAGACAGCTCTGCTGCCCCCCGCAGCTGGGACCCCTCGCGGGGACAGTGATCCCCAAGAGCGGCCTGCCCAGCCAGGTCCTCTGTTGAGGGCAGTGAGGAGCAGAGCGCAGGCTCCGCCCCGGCACGAAGCTCCACCCACCGGGGCGGGGTCATCAGAGCCTGCTGCATCCTGCCTGCCTGTTCCGCCCAGACTCTAATTTGTCAGAAGTTCAGTTTTAAGAACAAAAAGGGTTTTAGGAACATA